CTTTGAAGATGTTAAAACTGTCACTTTCTCTAATAAAATGAATTAATTATTTCATATCTAAAAGAATTATATAACTATTCTTTGATGAAAGAAAACAAGATAAAACTGAGATAAAAATAGAAGTATCATAAGAATCTTCAATCTCATCTGTTTTATTTGCAATATACACTGCATATCTATTCAAGAATAGAGAGATAAAAATAGTGAGATCTTCAAGTTATGTAGATAATATTGATCTACTCTACAGTTCAAAGATAATCAAAGAGAATTTAGAAGTAATTGAGAAAGCAGCAAAGAAAATCTTTGTTAGAGTAGATATCAATCTAATTCAATTTAATATGAATAAAACTGAGTTAATTCACTTTTTTTCCAGGTTTAATGAGAAATAACTAAGTCTAACTCTTTTGAATAAAGAGATTAAATTCAGTTTGAATGTCAAATGACTAGAAGTATAATTAAACTCCAAGTTGAATTTTAAATATTATATTCAATAAAGAATCATCAAGACAGAGAAACTACTGAATAGTATAATCAGACTATCAAATACTGAGAGAGATCTATTCTTTCAGACTATGAGATAGTTATATATAGCCTGTATTATCTCAGTAGCTGATTATAAAGTTTAAGTTTGATGAAATAATCAAGATAACTTCACTGAACTCTTTCAAAGTCTATAAAACAGAGCTTTGAGAAGAATTCTGAGAGTATTCAAATCATCTTCTATTAAAGCAATGAAAATTGAAGCTTCAATTTCATCTTCTGCTATTTAATTTGAAAAGACCTGTATGAACTATGCTCTGAGAGTCATGAAGATGAGCAGTCTCTTCTTCATTTTTATCAGTTAACTCAGGAAATGAACTGAATTGAAATAGATTTCTTAATTGAAATGAGAATAATGCTTTAAAGAAAATGCTCTCTCAACTATATAGACTATATTCACTTATTAAGAATCAATTTTCTTCATTAAATATTGAGAAAATTAATTATGAGAAGATATCTCTCTGAAGAGAAAAGCTGAAATCTCTCATAGACTTATAAATAAGTGAACTATCTAAAGAGAGAGAATATAAACAGTATTTGAAAAAGATCTCTATAATCAATATAAAAGACTCTATTCTGATTTACTCAGATGATTTAAAAAATGAGAATTTGAATAGATTAGATACAGGCATTACTTATACTGAAGATAATATTAATTTTATCTCAGATTTCTGAAATTTAGACTGTGAATCTGAAGTCTTTGATGCTGAACTATTTATAATAGTGAAAGCTTTCAAACTCATTGAAATAAAATCTTATAAAAGAGGAAATAGTTTGAAAGAGGTATAAATATTCTCTGATAATCAAGCTGCTCTAAAAAGACTTAGAAATAGTCAGAT